TTTAACAAATAACAGCCATGTATTCTCATTAAATTTCACTCACTAAGTGGCTAAGGACCTGTGCTTAGAAACACTGGCACTGGTAGCAGTTTCAAGTTAATTTAGATAACTGGCTGGAAAAAAAAAGACCTCCCTTTAAGAAAGAGAATAGTGCTTAGATTTTGCAAGGCACTACAGTATATGCTTACCGTGTGGAAATAGACTATGGATACTTTTGCGAGGAAACTAATTTTATTTTCTAGGACTGAAAGTAGTCTTTCCAAAATCAACACCAAGACCCGGACTTCCCCCATTCTTCAGTAGTGAATATACCTTTTGATAAAGTCACTTTGCGACCCTCTGTGCCTTCCTTACGCAAACAAGTTAGGAAATAAGTTACTACTCATTTTTTTTTTGTAGGAAAACAAGCCAAAACAAAACAAAACAAAAAAACCCACCCAAACTTAAAACCTCTGCAGGCGCAAGGTACTGCAAAGATGGACTGAGTCCTGATTATAGTTTTGCGGCCTGGGGTTGGCCAAGACTGCACAGGGCCAACAGGCAGAAAGGGGTCAAACAGGGCAAATACTTTATTGGAATCCACCCTCCAGGGCCAGGCTTAGCCGAAAGTCTCTTTTTCTCAGGCTTCTCTCTCCACCTCCCTCCCAACTGGCCACTGTAGTAGCTGACCCCAACTGTAGTCGGGGTCAGAGTGCCACCTGGAAGAGGCACCACCCCCCTAAAGAAGGCAGGGCGCCCTCTGGGGGAGGGACCCCCAGGAGGAACCCGGGCAAGGCGAGGCTCCCCCTGGAGGACAGACCCTCCCTGTGGAAGGATCCCAGCCAGCAGAGTAGGGCGCTCCAGAGGGAGGGACCCCAGGAGGGACAGGGGCGGGGCGGGGCGGGACGGGGCGCGGCTAGGCCGGCGGGGGTGTGTCCCAGGGGCCGGCACACCAGGCGAGGGTCGGTCTGGGAAGCTCACACTCGCGGTGCCAGCAAGCGAGCGTGGTCGCAGCCTTTCCCAGGAGCGTAGGGAGCGGCGAAAGCAGCGACATGCGGGGCGGCGGCACGGCAGCCGCGCTCCGGGTGCTCCTGGCCTCGGTGCTCTGGATCACCGTGCAGAGCCAGCAGAGAGGTGAGCCCCGCGGCGGCGGCAACACGGGTGACCCGCGGGCTGGCGAGCGGGAGCGTGCGGGTGCCGCGGGACAAAGCTCCAGGAGGTGGGGTGGGCGCTCGCTCGCACACTGGCGCAGCGCGGACCTGCGGCGGGCCGCACGGGGCTGGGACGTCTACGGAGGCCGTCCCCCGAGGACGCTGGCTGCTCCCCTGTGCCTTCAGCTTTGGTTTCCTCTGGCTCCGGGTGGCGGGGGATGGGGGACGGTCCCCTGCTTTCTAGCTTCTGCAGGACCTTGCGTTCTGGCAGTGCAGCGGGTAGCGAGAGTGGGGCGTCGGGGGCATAAAAGGGGCCGCAGACTCCTCATCCAACACCTGAGTGGTTGTGGCTGGAGGGGGACCGCCGGGTTGGTGGACTGCGCACCGCTCCTGGAATGAATGGGAACGGAGTTTTGCATTCCCCTTATTGTCCTGTGCTTCAGAGCGAGACCATGGAGGGAGAAAGGCGAGCTCCCCTGAGCCACTGGAGTCCATCGGGGTGGTCTAGTGGGAAAAGACTGAGGAAGAAGGGGTCCCAAGGTCAGCCGTCCTGGGCGACTGGGGCGCGCATATGGCATCCAGGACACAGATGTGTTCTCTAAAACGTGCTCTTTGTGTAGTCCCTCAAGTGACCAAATGGACTTTCCACGCGTGTTTACACACGGGGTGGGGGTAAGGGACTAGAAAGGGCAGAGAGTGCGTCCTGTCCGCATGGAACCAGTAGCTTTCTTTTCAAGGTTTGAGAACGGAACCCGACCCAAAGTGAGTTTCCAGTGGGCACTGGGGGTGGGAGGTGGAGGGAGAGAGAGGATTTGCTGTGCCGCCCAGAGTTGTCCTCGAGCTTACGCTCGGCTCAGCTAGACGGTCACGAATGTTTGCTGAAAAAAAAGTCTCAGTGTATGCAAACAAGTGGCATTGAGCGTGTCCCCACGCAGATTGCACTCTCAGGAGTACAGGTTAAAAGTGGGAGGCCGAATTCGAAATGCCCTCGTGGGAAAAATGCGCGCTTGGGCATTGTGCAGAGCTGTGAGCTATGCAGGCTGCGAGCATCCCATTCATTCATGCATTCATGATGAAAGCTCTGGACCAGGCTGGAAGCAAGGCTTTCAATAGCCAGGCGGTTGCTCAACTCTGAGCGGGGGCTGGGAGAGGGGAATTTACATAGTTATCAGGGGGAAGAAAGAGCCAGCCTTTGGGAGGGAAGCCTTTGACTCTGAGAGTCCAACTCCTGTCTGTGCTGTTGTTGAAAGTGACCAAATCATGGTTCCCACAGGGTGGAGAAAGCAGCTTGTCTCGGTTTATTGTTTCAAGAAATTGAAAGTCTTGGGTTGAAGAGGTGCCCCGAATACTTTCCGCTCCCCCCGAGGGCTAGGCGCCTGGCCTGGATGGTTATGAATGGTGTTTGGAGAAAGTGGACTGCATGGGGTTTTCCTGCTTGGAGGAAAAACTGCCTCGGGCAGGGCCTTTGAATTGCTCGTATCTAGTCTGTATTTGCCAACCCACACCTTTCCTAATGAGCAGTCTTGGGAGTTTTGTTCCCTGGATGTGGTCTGGGTGGTTGGTGAAATGACATGACTTAATAAAATAGTCCTGACCTATAAATCGCCAATCTAATTAACTGCCTGTGGTGCGGTATGTTTGTGTGTATGTGTATGTGTATGTGTATGTGTGTGGTGTGTCCGTGGTGTGTGTGGTGCATGTATGTGTGTTTGTGGTGTGTACTATAGCTGGCCTGAGTCTTATAATGTTGCCCTGACTGGTCTTGAATGTATGGATGCAAGTCATTCCCCTACCTCAGCTTTCTGAGTAGCTTGGACCATAGGTACCAGCCACGCCTATAGTAGGGTGCTTGTAGTTTTGAGACTGGTCACAGGTCTAAAAGTATGAGATCATTAAACATCCCTATCGTTTCCACAGGGACTACTTTACAACTGACTGTGACTCTGGCTGAGATGGAAACTTTAGAGTGAGTTGTCCTCTTAGTACTGGATAATAAGTGTTGTGTTTCCAGGACTGTGGAGGTAGCTCAGTGTTAGAGCACTTGTCTAGCATGCAGAAGACCCTAGGTTCAAACTCCAGCACAGACCAAAGGAACGTCCAAGCTGCCGTGTTTCTTAGAATTAATGTGCTAAATTCATAGTTGGCTACTGCAAGTGCAGGGAAACACCTATGGGCAGAACGTGCGTCTGGTAAGTGGTGTGCCTGCTTTAGCAGACATATGCCTACTCCATGCCGTGCTCCAGAATGATTTCAAAGGCCCTGTCTCCCTTTCTGTGGCTGGCTTGCTCTTCCCTGCTTCCTAGATGTGATGTATAAAGCCTGCGTTTTTAGTCACTCTTTTGCCCTTGAGTATAACAATGCCGCAAGGTGTGAAATCGGCACCGAGTGTCTTCTTGTGTAGCCCTTAGAACTGTGCTCTTCTGTAACCTAGCACAGTCAGTGTGGATGGGATCAGTTATTTCATTATAATGAACCCTGAAGCACCAGTTCATTCATAAGGTCCTATGGGCGTTCATTGCCATTTACAGTAGCCTTACTGGGAAGTGATGCCAGCAATACCTTACGCCTCCAGGTACCGGATGCTGCAGCATCACCGCTACCCGCTGTGGTCCATGGCTTATGCTCTCTGCGGTTTAGTTTTACTATCTATTGCATATGAGCAGTAACAACATCTACCTGGGAAGGATTGTCCATGATTAAGTGGATCAGTGTAGGAAAAGATTTCAGGTGCGTACTAAATCTAGCTAGGCCAGGATAAACTATGTGTGCCATTATTACCAATACTTACAGAGTTATGTGTGAAACTATATTGTCTCTATACTGTTTTTTTTGTTTGTTTGTTTGTTTCGAGACAGGGTTTCTCTGTGGCTTTGGAGGCTGTCCTGGAACTAGCTCTTGTAGACCAGGCTGGCCTCGAACTCACAGAGATCCGCCTGCCTCTGCCTCCCAAGTGCTGGGATTAAAGGCGTGCGCCACCAATGCCCGGCTGTCTCTATACTGTTTTAAAAGAGTCAAAATCGGTATTTGAATCAGATAGTGTTGGGCGCGACTGTTACAATGCGTCACTTTGTTAGCGTTGACAATAGTTCTGTTCCCTAACCTTGGGGAGGGTCAATCCTTCATCCTTTCTCCACCCTCAGCACTGCTGTAACTGTTCTTTTTTCTGAAAGGTTAACTTGAGAACACTTGCCCTCCCTGCTTCCCATTTTCTTGTAGTATCATTTGATTCTCCTGCGTGCCCTTTTCTCTCCTTATTCGTGCCTAGGCTCAGATTATATCCCAACTCCTCACTTTCAGGATGTCCACAAACGCCGCCATGGTGCTTTATCACACTGGGGTAGACCCAGGAGGCTGGAAGGCACCTGGCCTGCTGTCTCCCAGCTGAGGGTCTCGGGCAAACCTACGCCTGTGTTATGCAAACCAGTCTCTGCGCAATGCAGGCTAAGATATGCTCTGCCTGCTATTTGGGTTCTAGAGACCTGGCACCCTTACATGCCTTCTGCCTCGGACTCCAGTGTTCTAAAATGCACTAAGGGATACATAGGAAAAGGGTGGTAATGGACTTGGCCACTGTCTTTCAAGACGCCACTGGCTGTCCTTCCCTCGCTGTCCCTTCTTGGAGTGTTTCAATGCAAGCTGTTTGTGAACATTGCCTCTCTAATAACTGTACCAATCGCCTGTAGTCAAAGCATGGGAAACAGAGACAGGGGCAATGCCCTCTCACTGCCCTCCTTGTGCAAGCTGCCTCTGTGTCCTCTGGGCAGGTTTTGCTTACACCACTTACTAACTAACGTGCGCACTTTTTAACCGTTACCTCTCCAGCCTGTCTTTTCCAAGCCCTTCTCAGACAGACAGGTGTTATCAGAGCAGTGTCTTCTAGAGCTTTTAATTTTTAAACTGGATTAATGTTGTAGAGTACAGTAAAGGCACTGTTGGCTGTAGGGTTGGTGGGCTTCTTGTGTTTTTTTTTTCTTTCCTTTTGGACATAAGGAATTGATTGACATGTATTTGAGGCTATTTCTGGCACAGAGCAATGACAGCACTACAGCTCTAAGAATAACGTAGTCTTTTAAGGAAGTTATTGTTAGTGAACAAAGCTAAGCCTGCCTTTGTGAATGCTGAAGTTAGCCGAAGCCAGTCACCGGAGAGTCTGTAAGTTATACCCGGGCTGAAGAGTGTAGTGAGTCCCATCCGTCAGTAACATGTGCGTGAGCTAGATGAGCATGGTCTCCCGAGGAAGATGGAGAGAGCTTGTTTAACACTTGGAAGGAATTTCTTAACTCGTTTCTTCTCTAATATAATAGGATACTTCTCCGGACAACTGAGTAAATCAATTCATTGCAAAATTAATGAGCAGGAAAAAAGATTCTCCATAGAAGTAGTTTAGTTAAGGTCGTGAACTCTGGTTCTGTTGGAGCATGCCCGTCAGGTAGCGATTTCAGCATAAAATGTGCCACACACCGGCTGGTTTCATTGCCTTTTTTTTTTTTTTTTTTTTGTCCTTTATACAAGGGTTGACAGTCAGTGCTCGGTGCAAGCATTTAATAATAAATAACACGGAATCTTGTGTCTTTGTTTTCTCAAGGCCGGGTCAGGAGGGCTTTCTCTGGGTTAACTGGTTCCCACTCTTGCCGGGGGTGGGAGGTCGGGGAGGCAGCAGACAATGGGAGCAGTGTGGAGTTTGGTGGATAACATTCTTGCCTCGGTTAGCACTTATCTCCACGTGTTAACTCAGAAACGGTGGCAGAGACCTGCCACCACGCTATCAGGGACGCGATTGCAGGGTATGTGCGCTTAAAAAAAATCCATTTGAAGTTTGAATCTCTTCACTCCAGGAGTTATCTTTGAAGTCTGATCTGTTGTCTCAGCGGGCCTTAAAGGCTTGTACCTCTTCTGTCTCTGGTGGCCGTGTCGCCTTTAGAACAGTGGCGTTTTCTGGGCGTTGCCAGCTCCCCTCATTCCCGAAGGTGCTTCCTGGATTGTTTCACTCCGTGGCTCCATAATTTCCTGCCAGAGCCTTAGGAAATCATCAGCAACAATAAGGATGTTAAAGGAGACGTTTAAATGCAATAGATCATTCCTAGTTAAAAAAAAGAACACCCAGAGCCATCGGCGAGTCTCCTCTGGTAAGGCGCATGCTGCCAAGGCTCATGACCCGAGTTTGACCCTTGGGACTCACAAGGTAGAGGGAGAGAGCCACCATCAGGAAGGTGCCCTCTGACCTCTCCATGTGTGCCTTGACATGTATGTGTCTGTACACAGACATGCCCGCACATGCGCACACACGTGTAACCACAAGGCTGGTGGTAATAGACCACCCATTAAATGCCTTCTCCTTATTTGGTGGAGGTAGAAGTTTACTCATAAAAAGTGGTGACTTACTATCTCAAGCTCAGGAGAAGGAATTCTTCCTTCTCAGAATGGGCTTCCCTCCTTGATTTCTACACATCCGTGTAATTTTTACCCCTATTACCTTGGTTGTACCATCTTTTACTGGCTTGTTTGTTTCCTTTTATGCAATTTACCCAACTTGTTTCTCTGAAGTTTTATTTCTTTTTTCGTTAAAATCTCTCTCATTCTCTCTGTCTCTCTGTCTCTGTCTCTCTGTCTCTGTCTGTCTGTCTGTCTGTCTGTCTGTCTCTCTCTCTCTCTCTCTCTCTCTCTTTCTCTCTCTCTCTCTCTCTCATTTGTTTGTTTCCATTGCAAATATCCATGAGATGCCTGAATTATCAACCAGGTGACCTGGTGTCACGCTAGTGTCTAGTAATAAAATAACTACTCCCTGTCATCATACAGGCCCCCGTCTCTCTGTCTGTTTGCTTGTTTTCCAGGACAGGGTTTCTATGTGTAGCCCTGGTTGTCCCGGAACTTGCTTTGTAGATCAGGCTTGACTCACCTGTCTCTGCCTCTGGGGTGCTGGGATTAAAAGCATGAGCCACCACACCCTTCGATCCTTAGCCTCTTGAGGTTCCTTCTTTTGTCTCCCTCCCATGGACCCCCATAACCCGTCCAAGTTCAGCCCCAGTTACCAACCTTTATCCTAGGTTGACATCCTGCTTCTGTATTAGAGTTGTCTGCTGAGAATCTCAGGATCTGAGATACAGCCCAGCACTGCACCTGACCCCATCCCTACACTTACCACAGCCAATTGCCCAAGGGATGCCTGCTCCCTCATTTCTAGCTGTGCTCTGGATCCTGTGTTAAGTCGGGGTTCCCACATAGCCACAGTTTCTCTGGGCCACTTCCGGGTGGTTTTCCCAGAATGCCACACACCAGAGTTTTTTTTAAAAAAAGGATATTTCTCTTACACTTCTCAGCATTTCTTAGTACACACGGAAAATCAGAGTCCTGGCTCTAGGACCTGGCTGGGTCAGTGGAAGATAACCAGGGTCAGGGTGGTGGTAACTCCCACTGAACCACAGCATGCATGTGAAGAGTTAGATGGTCAGAGGCCCTTCCTAGATGGTTCCTAGTGCTGAAAAGGGGGGACAGCCATGAAAACTAATGTCACATGTAAGACAGTTGTTAGCCTAAGTACACTAGTCACACAGTGAGTGGGTTCCAGTTGTTCTATTAGGATAAAATACACTTCCGTGGAGCTTAGCTCCGGTTAAAGTCCACATCTACCTTACATGAAACATTCTCAGAGGAAGCTGGCCTGACCCCCACAGCTGGTGACACCGATGGCAGTGACACTTGAGGCCCCCAGTGCTGAACCATAGTGATCATTACTGCTGCCTGGTGGGGGAGCCTTAAGGAGCCAACAGGGATAACAGGATCCTCCCCAAGTGCTGGTCAAACTCTTGCGTTCCCGTGACTTGGAAATCCAGGAGTTGGGACCAGTCACTCCTCCTGGGGGGGGGGATGCATGAGACTCGGCACACATTCCAAGGGGAGGGGTGCTCACTGCGGAGTCTCACATGTGGGACCTGAAAAGAAGTCTGCTCTTACAGGAAACAGAAACAGAAAAGCCAAGCTTCATAACCTTGTCATCTCCTGGCAACTACTCAAGGGAGTGGAATCATTTATAGCTGCAAACATCTCCAGGGGAGCTGTGCAAATCCTATCCCTGCTCCAGGATGGCACACTCAGTCGTGAGCCCTGACCCCTATAGCATCCTAGATTTCCTGGCACCCAGTAGATGGGAGCCACAATGTATTGTTCAAAAGTCCTTATCCCCTCTGGCATTCTGAGCCACCAGACATTTCCTATCCATCTTTAACTCCGCCCTCTAGGATTTCCAGTTTAAATATTTGTTTCCAGACCCATCTCAGTCCCTTGGCCGATGTTCTGTCCCTGTCTCTGTCTTGAGCTTGGGAGAATTCTTCTCCTGATCCTGGGAATCCCTAATGTATTCTTTCAGCTCTTTTATCACAATTCTCTATTTCTTGCATTTTTCCCCCGAAGGAAATGTTTCTCTTACTCATTACCTCTCTACCCCAGGCTTTATGGAAGGTGTGTGTTCATTCTAGAAGTTTGGAATGGAGGGAACTGGAGATGTTTGTTTCAAGAGATATGATTCCACTTGTCTCAGTTTCCTGAGTAGACAGGGCTTCAGGTGCAAGACTTAATACCTTTCTTAGGAGTGGAATAGCATTCCGTATGGGGTTGCTGTCATTTGTATCCAGGTTACTTGTTTCTGTGTGTGTGTGTGTGTGTGTGTGTGTGTGACTGTTTGTGTGTATGTGTGTGTATGTGTATGTATGTGTGTGTATGCGTATGTGTGTGTGAAGGGTATGTGTGGTGTGTGTGTGTGTGTGTGTGTATGTGTGTGTCTTACTCCTTCGCATCCATGTCTGTGCACAGAGCTCATGTTGGAACTGTGTTACATGGCACATCTTGAAGGATCTGTGTCCTAGCTAGTTTTATGTCAACTTGACACAAGCTAGAGTCATCAGAAAGGAGGCAACCCCAGTTGCGGAAATGCCTGCATAAGATCCAGCTGTAGGGAATTTTCTCAATCAGTGATCAATGAAGGAGGGCCCAACCCATTGTGGGCGGGGCCATCCCTAGGGTTGGCCGTCTTGGGTTCTATAATAAAGCAGGTTGAGCAAGCCATGAGGAGCAAGCCAGTAAGCAGCACCCCTCCGTGGTCTCTGCATCAGCTCCTGCCTCCAGGTTCCTGCCCTGTTTGAGTTCCTGTCCTGACTTCCTCCAATGATGAACAGTGATGTGGAATTGTAAGCCAACAACCCCCCCACCCCCCTCACCCTCTCACCCTCTACCCCCCCCCCACCCAGCTTGCTTTTGTTCATGTGTTTCATCACAGCAGCTCTATTGACCCTAACGCAGACTCTGCTCCTGGCTGCCTTCCTTGCTGTGGCTCGAGAACTGCAAGGACATCTCTCATGTTCTAGTTGGATTTGCTTTCCAGCCCGAGAAACTCAAAAGTGTATGCTTGGAAAGGGATTGTCTCCTTAATGTAATTCTCAAGACAGGAGTTGAGAGTCTGGATTCCCAGCTGGGCCTGCAATTCAGATTTTATAACAGGCACTGCGGTTGCCTGTAGACTACATCCCTTACCCTTATTTCCCTTCTTCCTTGGAGACTTCAGAGCTTGCCTGCTGGCTGGCTCTTTAGATGCCATGACAGACTTTTTGAACAGTTTCATACAAGTCCCCCACCTCAGGTTTCCATGTAAGACTTTAATAACACGGACCCCTAGGTCCTAGCTACCGGGATCATAATGTATTTGGTCTGAGATGGGACCTAGTCATTTGCATTTAAGCTGTGCCCCCTGGGTGATTTGCCTGTGCAGCCAGGATTAAAAATTACTCGGTGAACTTGCTGGGTGGGAAATACACTATCATAGGCAGGCTCTGGACCTGTAGAAGCCTCTTGCTTGTTGGTGGGGTGAATGTGTCTCTGTGCTGCCTTTGGCCCTGCTGTGGTGTTTTTTTGTTGCTCATGTGTTTAGGCAAGTGCAATCTGAGTTTGGCTTTACTGGCTCAGCAAGGTCCTTATTCCAAAAATACTTTGATCAAGTCTATAAGGTCTTTTGATCTTGGGTTTTTTGGACTAGGGGAACCGATTGATGGACTCAAGCAGGATTTATTACACACATTCCGTATTCAAGCTCTTTTCTGTCCTCTGGGTCCTTTTCTCTGGGATCCCAGCCGTGTCTTCTCTCCTGGGTCCAGCTTGCCATTAACACTCCCCCTTATTAAGTTGGGTGATTCCAGGGTCCAGCTGCCCTCAATCACCTTCTTGGATGTTGTCCTCTACGGGGGAATCTATCTTACCCCCTTTCCTGGCTTCCATGAGAAGTTTTTCATTCACTAGCATCTGACTGATGGCTTTTCTCCCAAGTCCATCCGATGCAATATGTACCTGTGTTGTTCCCACATCGGCACCAACCCCGCCTGTACCTATATTGACCTTGCAACCGGCTCCCTCCCTGGATCCTCTGCCTCGGGTATGTGATCAGGTGGTGCAGTGATTACTCCAGGGAGAGCACAGACAGAGCCTGGAGTGGGGTCCACCTGCCATGGAAGCGTGGCCTCGTCGCGAGCTCTGGGCTGAGTCTGGTGCAGCCTCTAACACAGTTTTCAAGGACCCCAGGAAGCCATTGGCACCTGACATCCCTGAAGAGTGAATGCACGGTGAAGTTGGTCATGCCTTTCCGGCCCTGCTGAGAGTGGCTTTGCTGTTGTCTGCTGAGTGGGGCTTCCTGGGCTCTCAGCTGTGACCTGCCTCCCCTTCCATGGCTAACGATTACCTCTCCTGTGTTGCTGCAGTTCCCATGCCTCTGAACCTTGACTGGCTTTCCTAGCACAGCAGAAACTCTTCCTTTCACTGGGACACCCTGACTTATTCCAGAGTGCTCACTGCTGCTGCTGCTGCTCCTCCTCCCCCCTCCAGCACTTTCTGTAGCCACCTCTCCGTTGACTTATTTTTTCTTTCTGCTTGTAATCCCAATACCTCACCCAGCACCCGGCAGTGTCTGCTGTGTGGTGACCGCTGGATGAGTGTCTGTCCCAGTGCAGACAAACAGCGGGGGCTGGAGAGGAGTGTAGGGGACATCATGTAGAAATGCAGACAGATGACGTGCTTGGGATCAGGAGAATCGGCGACAAAGGGCCAGAGTGATAATCTCCTGAAAAGATCAGGCTAGCCCAGGATGTCTGGAACCTCTGAGTCACCAGGACAGGCCTTGGAAAGAGACCAGGGAGAATCTGGGTGACAGGGCTGGGCCAGGGGTGACCAGGCATGTTTTAGGATCCAGGCCTTGGTTTCACAATCTAGGACAGCACACATAAACAGAGGCCATCTGGCGGGAAAAGTAGCTTCAGAAATGCGTTGGCTTAAAGTAGGGTCCTAAGAACTCTCAGGGTAGCCAGGGTGACCAAAGCCAAGAGCACCGTTCAAATTCAATGAGTCTCTGCCTTAGGGGGGAAAATAAGGTGTGAAGGGACTGAGTAAGACACCCGATGTAGGCCGGGCGGTAGTGGCGCAAGCCTTTAATCCCAGCACTCGGGAGGCAGAGGCAGGTGCATCTCTGTGAGTTCGAGGCCAGCCTGGTCTATAGAGCGAGTTCCAGGACAGCCTCCGAAACAATACAGAGAAATCCTGTCTCGAAAAAACAAAACAAAAACAAACAAACAAACAAAAAGACACTCAATGTAGTCCTTATACATCTGACGTGCACACATGCACACACTTGCACATGCAGTCCACAAGGCATCATTCTTGCCTTCCAAAGGTGTTATTGAACATCGCTGTCATTTATCAGTTCTATTAAACCAGCTGGCCGCTGGGTAAAAACAGTTCAGAAGCCACACTGTGTTAAGGCTGAGGCGGTAGCGTTAGGGATGGTGCTTGTGGAGCCCGCTAGCCTGTCTGGCAGGCTCGGTAACCTTGCCAGCTACAGCAGCCTCCTCGCTCCTAGCTTTGGCAACACCCACAGCAACTGTCTGTCCTCCCGAGAGAACAGCCAGACAGCCCAAAGGATAGTAGTGGACGCGCTCCATCCAGAGCACCCACCGGGAACCACGTCACCACTTTCAGCATCGCCATGATGCAAGAATTTAGGGCCGTTTGCAGCTTACCAGAGTGAAGGTCAACGCAATGCGGAACACAGGGAGACTCTGTGTGCCGTCCTCGAGCAGGGGGACAGGCTAGTCTTCCTTGCGCGGGTCCGGGAGAAGGAGGGTATGCCGAAGCACTCTGGTTGTCCTATACGGAGTTTCCTTCCAATCTGGGGCACAGTCAGTGTTTGTGGCGTGATTCAGGCTTGGCGTTGGTTCACTAGCTTGTTGGCATTCGCTGACTTGCTATATTTTTGTATAAAGTTGAGGGTTTTTTTTAGGGAACATGCCTGCCTGACTTTAGGACTTTAAGTGGAGGGGACAGCTCCCCCCCCCATTTAAACCATTTGATAAAGTATCAAAACTGGTAAAGGTGACACGCAATCCTTTACTGTAAGTTGGTGCATGCACGTGCCCCTGGCGGCCTGTCTCGTGTGTGGGGTCATGCGACAGGGTCTGTCGTGGAACTGGAGCTCACCAAGTAGAAGACAGTGGTTGTCTACTGAGTTCCTGGGATTCGCCTGTCCCTGCCTCCCCAGCAGTGGGATTATAAGCATGCGTCACACGCTGGGTTTTTAGTTTGGGTTCCGGGCATGGAACGCAGGTCTTTATGCTTGCAAAGTGAGCTCACTTTATGGACGGAGCTATCTCCCACCTCCCTTGGATTTATTGTTGTTGTTGTTGTTGTACTTTCTGAAAGGTATTTTCTCCTTTAAAAAACAAGCCTTGTGTGTTGGAGAGCTGAGCTGGCCCTTCTGATCCTAGGATATCCTTACTGCATTTTGTGCCGTCTAGCTGTGTCATTTGCTCACGTGAGAGCCAAGCTTCAGGCTAGCCCATATGAGAGCTTTCCACTGGTGGTTTTGCTAAGATCACTTGGTGGCCTGTGCTTTCTGTCCCTCCCCACCCCGGTGTCTGCTGCAGTGTCTCAGCGGGCTGCTGTGCCTGGCTGTGCATCCTGGGCCAGGACGAGGATGCAACAGCTCCAGATGGAGGGTCATTTCCCTTCATTGAGCCTTACCAGAAACACCAGCAACAGCGCTAGGAAGGGAAGCTTCCCCAGCTGATGTTTGCCTTTAGTTGATTTTTTTTTTGGAGTTCTGAGATGCCTGCGATGTGACTCAGCTATGTAAGGAATGGGGGGCTTGGCTGGCCCCTGTTGTCTGTCCCAGACACGTGTCCTTCTGCAATACTTTAGCTGATTAAGATGCCTTGGTTGCTATGGACTGCTCAATGAGGACGTGTTTCTCAGTGTATCCTGCCGCATCCTCAGTGAGGAGTGGTGCTTACCCCACACCAAAGGGATGCTGCTGCTCAGGGAGGATGACCGGCTGCTTAGGAAAATTCACAGTGATCTTAGTCTAGCTATAGGTTAGCCTTTCTTTAACTTGAACAACCCCCCCTACACATACACACACTCTCTCTCTCTCTCTCTCTCTCTCTCTCTCTCTCTCTCTCTCTCTCTCTCTCTCTCTCTCTCTCTCTCTCTCTCTCACACACACACACACACAAATGGTAGGGGGCTTCATCCCCAGTGTCTTTAAAAGAATTCCATTTATGGTACCTGTTAACGTTACATTTAGCAGGATTTTCACCGTGAGTCAAACCTCTGTTTGCATGTTGGTCAGCATGATCAAGTGAAGAGTTGCTGAGAATTTCAGTGTCAGAGAATGTAGGGGTGCAGGTCAGGACACTCGGGTGCCCAGGTCAGGACACGCAGTTGCATGGGTCAAGGAAGAGTTGATAGGCTTCCCTTGGACCTTGGGCCCTCCACCTCAAAAGAAAGAGTTATGTTCTCTGGGAGACAACAAAGCCAGATCTCTTCAGAAGTGCCACCAGAGAGTTGAAGAAACAGTTAGGGTGAGGGGGTCTTGATGCTCATCAGAAAGGGGAAAAGCCTGGGGGTGAATTTGAAAAGTATTCTTAATTTGTAATTAATTAATTTTGCATGCGTCTGTGTGTGTATGTATACATGTGTGTATACATGTGTGCGGCGTGTGGGTCGGTGTACATGTTGAGGTCTGAGTATATTCTGTGGCTATAGGTTCTCTCCTTTCACTGTGTGAATCTTGTCGAACTCTGCCATCTGACCTGGTGGCAAGTGCCTTTATCCACTGAGCCATGATCCAGTCCCTAAAAGGCAGCAGGCTGTAAAACTTCACAGTCCCACATGTATACCGAAGTGTACCGTTTGGTAAAGCAGGGATTTAAAGAAAATATGAGATTTGTATATAGAAAAAGTTTATGAGAGCAGGCTATTCATGTGGCTAGCATGGAGTTTGGATTCCTATAGTGCTGAGCCACAGAAATCAAGGGAAATTTCCTTGCCTTATTACCATAATGAAAAGGTAAGGGTTTATGACTGTAGTCCAGTTAATAGAGTGCTTACTTAGCATACACAAAGCCCCGAGGCTCCATCCCCAGTACCGCAGACACCAGGCAGAGTGGCACTCAGCTGCCATTCTAGCACGTGGGTGGCGGGCGTGGGAGGATCAGAAGGAGCCTTCAGTCACGAGGAAGCTAGGACATCCTGGGATTTATGAAACCTCAAAGCCCACCTCCCTGTTGAGAGAAGCTTTTTTCTTGTCTGCCGCTTTGATTTTTCCCCACCAGTCGCCTGGGCTCTGCCACATTATAGTCCCCAAATAACACACAAGATGCTGTATTAATTATGAAGCTGTTGGCCTTGCTTGTTTCTTACTGGCTATCTCTGACTTAAGTATTTAACCCATCTAAGTATTTCACTTACCGGACGGACATCTTACTTCTCTGGTGGGCTGCATGATGACTCCCTGTGTTTCTCCTACCCAGAGTCCTCCTGGACTCCTAGTCCCACCTATCTTGCTTCCCTATTGGCCAACAGTGCTTTATTGACATATACACAGGACTTCCCCATCACCCCCCAGTAACACACTTCCTCCTAATCCTTCTAATTCTTTCAAATAGTTCCCGTCCCTGGTGACCAAGTAACCAAATATATGCCCTGTAGGGACGTTCTTATTCAAACCAGCACAGTGAGTGTGTGAAGATCTGTGTGTATACACATGTGTGCAGGTGTGTGAAGATCTGTGTGCACACCCGTGTGTGCCGGTATGTGTGAAGATCTGTGCGCACACACGTGTGTGTGGGTGTGTGTGACTATCTGTGTGCACACACATGTGTGCAGGTGTGTGTATTTGTGTATGTGGAGGTCAGGGTCTGTGTTGGCTAACCTCCTCTATCAAGCTTCACTTTATTTTTTGAGACAGAGAGAACACCAGGAACCTTCAGGGACTCCGTGTTCTTGATGCCTTCCCTGCCCTACTCCATCCCATGTGGGCAGGGTCCTTGTCCCATGCAGGTAGCCCTGCCTTTGCCCCATACAGTCTTTTGAAAAGCTTTTTGCCTCCTTCTGTCTCCTAGATCCAAACCCTCTATAAAGCAGAAGCTCAAGGACTTCAGGGCACCCAAGGGACGGCTTAGCATTTTCCACAAAACTGCCAGTCAGGAAATTATGGTAGCAGTTGGATTCAGCTGATAGACCGTTCTTACTGTCTAGCAATATTGATTCTTTCTATAAATCACGTATTTCTCTTTGTTCATCACATTCTTTCATTTCTCTCAGAAAGTTTATGTCTATTTTGGTGTATTGGTCTTGAATTTATCTCATTTTTTTAGTTGTGTGTGTGTGTGTGTGTGTTGATACAACTGTGTAGCAGATGCCTGGGTTCAACGGTGTCTTGTATGGAGAAGGCCCCTAACAGACTGCCAGTGAGCTCTGTTTATAGAATCGCCTTTGATTTGGAGCCTTTAACATTTTTCTTTCCTAACAATAAGCTACAGATCTTTGTTTTCATGAAGTCTCTGCAGTTCTCCCAAAGATAGTTGCTCAAGGTCTCTTAGATTAAAAATGCAGTGCGGGTGTCTGGAGCTCTGGTTAAAGAGTTCCCGGGTTGCTGAAGGAGGCAGGATCCTGCCGATCTCCCTGGTGAGATTTATGCTGAGCTTGGCCAGATTGGCTCAACTCAGTGTCAGAGCTGGAGGGTGGCCCACGAGGTCCAGGCCTGTGGACTCAAAGCATCGTTCCCCGGGGGAGCCAGTCAGACACAGAGCTTGGTGGCCCCAGTCTGACCCACTGACTCAGCAAGATGCCCAAGTGACCTGTGAACAATAAAGCTGAAACTTCACTTTTTTGTCCTCGGCTCTGCGCACCGTGGGCACCCCTTAGTCACAGCTGGTCTTGTTTATGGCTGGGGAGGGGTTCCACTCTTTGCAGTGCTATCCTCGTTTTTTTTTTTGTGTGTGTGTGTGTGTGTGAAAAGAAGTCTTATCCACACGGGGTGTGTTTCAAGTCTCTTTCGGAGCTTGTCTGGAACAGAGTAACACTGAAGCCTGGTTATCCTGTCTTCCCTCTGCAAACATGCTATATGTAGTAAGTTTAATTTATTAAACAGGAATGGCAAGGGATTGGTATCGGCCAATAATAAAGTAGAACATAGCAACGTAATAAGGATTTATAGTTGAATGGAGAGAAGACCTGAGAGAAAGAACTGGAGACAGGGTCATCGGTTCCTGTAATATATGTGGTCAGGCGACTCCTTTGGCAGCTCCGTGTTAGAGGGTAACGCCCTTTGACCTGAGAGAGCAGTGTTGTGGAGGCCAGTGAGAACCACACCGAGACCGTCTAACTCTTCAAACCTCTGACTGGAGCATCTGCCTCCCCCGGTGGAGTCTGTGTATCACCCACAGCCATCTCAGGAGGTCTTCCAGCTTGCAAAATGTGCGCGAGATTAAACTAGTGCTAAGCCAGTGGGCCCAGGTATGTTTGGGGGTGAACACGGATAGTGTTTTAAGTGTGACACACCTCGAGTGACCTCATGAGACACATATGGTCCCTGTACATTGGGAAGGAGAGTCCCCCCCTCACTGAAGCTATTGTCAGGCACATGCATAGTAAGCTGATGCCCCCCCCACAACACACGGAAGCTATTGTCAGGAACATGCATAGTAAGTTGACACAAAATAAGTGAGGGAGAGGCTTGCTGAAATTATTAAAAATGCCAAGGCCTTTAGACAGAGCTCTACGCCAAGGGCAAATGTGTGCATGACCCCTGCAGAAAGCCACTCTCGGCGCGTGCCTGGGACAATGTAAATCATAACCAGAATGCAGAAGTGGGAGAAGAGCTAGGAAAAATAAGACCTGGAAGGGCCGTTAGAAAGGTCCGTAGTTGGGGAAACGTGCAGTCTGGTTAGAAAATGATGAACGATCTGGGCATGGTGGCTGAGGCTCCACTCCAGCCACCCGGGGAGAG